AAGCTGATGAAATCTTTCTGCAGTTCCAGTCTGTAGGCTGCAGAACAGCGTGTTGGGACAGGGACAGCAACTGGCAGAACTGAACGGTTGAAAAATCTGATTGCAGGATGGGGCGGTGCCTGGCATATAACTTCGGGCAGCATTCGAGCCAAGCATTGCAAAGCATGTGTTAAGCCTCTCGCCCACCGCATCGTACCTCAGTGAAGAGCTAATGTATTTGAAGCCTTGCCTTTGGAGTTTCATGGGTCGAGTCCAGTCAGGGAAACCATAGCTAATGCAATCACAGCTGCAGGTGATGACTGCTGAGGATGCCGCTTTACAACCAGAGACAGAAGGCCCTTGCGATGTTTCAATGCTTCTGGCTCTTTAGACAGCGCCTGCCATTGCGAGTTGGCTGTAACCTTGTGTTTTGAAGACTTTCACAACGTGAGGCCAATGTGCGGAGCCCCCGAATCGCGTCCAGCAGCTTGACGGAGAAGAAGCTTTCGGAACGGACAGCTCTGCACAGCTACAGACTCATAAGCTGTTTAAAGAAGGTTCGGAAAGTACCAGTTCCTACCGCGGCAGCCTCTTAGCCGCCGCGTTTGTGTGGTGCTGAGGCTCGCTGCTTTGGTGGCTCAGCCTGGGCAAGCCATCAAGCTGGTCTTGGGGAGAAACGAGCCGCTAAGCTCAGAATCGAGCTTCTTTCTGGTGCACGTCGCGACTTTAAGAAGGTCAGCGTCCAGCTTTAACTTAGGTGGGCAGATTGAAGTTGGCCTGCGCTCGCATCGCAATATTTGTTGTGCTGCCGGTCTTCCTCGGCATTGCCTACTTAGTCATGACGGGCTTTATTGCCCCCAGAGCAGAGTACCTGACCCTTCACTTCTGCCGTTTTTCTATGTCGGCACCTATGCCTGAGACATGGGTGCTGATCAGGCAGCTCAACAAAGAGTGGCTGCTGCATGAACGTCGACGCTGCTGTACTCAGCTGCGAGACGTGGGTGTTGATCGAAAGACCTTTCCGTTTCGCAACCAAGCTCTCACATGGCGACTGGGTCAGCTAGCTTTGGATAGCTCTCTCGAGGGAAAGGGTTCTGTTTCAGTCTTGTTTTGAATCTTGAAGCGTATCCGGGCGGAAAGGCGGCTCCAGAAGGCATGGTGCCACTTCCACAGCGCACAACAGAGGTTAACTAGATGTGCCTCCAAACCACCTGTTCAGACACATTTTGGGGCTTGAGCCAGCATGCTGCATGTTGAATGCCTCAGATTCCAGTAATCTAGTGTTGTTGGACAGGCATTACTGAAGAGGGCCCTACTTAATGTGTTTCGGCGGCCACTTAAAGAGTTGCAGGCCTACCTTCGAGGCACGCTATGCTCGGAATAGAGGGAGTCTTAGAGAGGGACCCTGTGTTTCGTAGGTTTCTGTCCATTAATGCAGGTCCCGTTTTGGACATCGTGAGTGGAAGAGCTACGGTAGATATCAGCAACTGCACGGTGACGGGATCGCGAAAGTTTCACGAAAGGACTTCTTCTTCCTGGGCCAAGGTCAAGTCGGAAGCAAGGATTTAAGAACAACACCCAAGTGCGGCCAGGCATACGAATGAGGTCAAAGGGTCCTAGCGTCCTCGTCTTTCATGCCAGTCATTGGGATCTTAGTAGTACTGAGGTTTCTGGATGTTGGGCAGCCCCTCTCAACCAGCAGCCCGAATTGCTGCAGAGTTGCTCTTAAGCCTAATTTAGTTACAAGAATTGCTCCCGGAGCCGGGGAGAAAAGATGCAAGCCGCGGTCATGGAGCCTCATGTCTGACGTTCCAACATTGCTCCGATGTGGAGCATTCTGGGCCTGAGGCCCACGGAAGTTGCTCAACAAGAACTCACAAAGAGCATTGATGCACGTCAGTTACCTCCCAGCTTTGTGGGCTCAAGCTGGGACTGTAGGAAAAGAAAGGCGTCGGCACCCTTAGTACTACATCAACGCCATATCCAGTCCAGCTGAAGCAGAAGATCATGGTGATATATGGTGCTCATGTTGTAGGACCAAACGTCTTCGCCTACAATCGCCAGCAGATCATGGGCCAGTGTCAGCAGTGTTGCGGGCTTCGCCCCAAAGAGGACAGTATCATGAGCGCAGACACAAGCTAGCTTGAGTCCTTCTGAAGGTAGTCGAGGCAGTGCTTGTTTGCTGTTGGAGGGCTTGTCTTGGCTGATCACCCATTATGTGAGGTTGTTTGTTGGGGCGCGCAGTGTGTCCTGTCCAGATGGCTGTGTCAAGGATTGCAGGTTCGACAGCAGGAATCGGACAGTGACAAAGGTGAGGCAGTTGAGCTGTCAACCTCGTTTCCAAAGCGTTGGCGGCACCCAGAAGTTGGAGGAAATGATGCACCCGTCTTCCAACGGCACTCATCGGTAGCCCAAGCATAGTACACCAGCAAGACATGAATGATCACGAACAAACGGATCAGTGCTGCTAGGGCCTGCCTTGGGCGCTTCCAGCCTTGGAGGCCGGAGCGATTCTTCCGACGCCGACCTCAGCAGCACTTCCACAGCTCGCCGACGAGGCAGAAGCTGCGTGGGGCGATGCAGGATGTGCCTGTGCATGATTAGCAAAGCCCACTCATTCACGATGGGTCTGTGTTTCAGGGCTTGCCCTTGCTAAAAAAATCCTGGAGCCCAGATCCTGAGGCCAGCCTTACGTGGTGAACTGGCATTTGTGTGTGCAAGCTTACCATTCCCCACCTACTGAATCCACTTCAACTTGTTTCCGGATATGATCCTCTTCGAATCCGCGCGCCTGGACCCTAATGCCTTGAAAAG